TCAACAACAACAAAATTAGTTAATAATTATAGTTAAAGTAAATTAATATTTATTTTAAAAAAATAAAAAATATTACAAACAAATAATACTAATACATATATTATTGATATTTAATAATAACAACTACTTGTTTATTAAAATAAAATAAAAAATTAATCATAAAATTATGTATAGTATTACTAATACCTATCAATGACCTAACTATTGAAATTGACGGCAATTTTTTCCATATAATCCAACCATATTTCCAGAAACTCCCGGACCTTATGGTCGACCGGCGGTTTCAATTTAGGCAGACATGTATTCACTACCAATTCGACCGATCGGGAAATATCGGCAAAAAAGTCACGAATTACTTGCAAAAATTGTTGGCCCCGTTGTTCGGGTGTCAACTGTTGGCCAATATTACCGGATAGGCCTACCAGTGCTTCGCTTAGTGCCTGAGTGTAAAACGATTTACCCGATCGGCACCTGGATTTGTTAAGATGGCGGCACAAGTGTTTGATTTTGTCGGCTAACTGTTTGAACAGTTTGGCCGCTTCACGATATTTTTTGGCCACTTCCGGATCATCGGCGGTAACTGTCTGTTCGTAAGCGGCCATAGCTTTCGATAGGTCGATGGCCAGTTGGTAAACATCTTCACAGATGAAATAGGTTATATCATCGCATAGTTGGCCAGATTTTTCAAAAAATTTATTCAATGTATCGGACAGTTCAACCAATTGTGGGCCAAATTTTTCGCCAATTTCTTGAAAATCATTGCACGAAAACAGTTTATTGATGTTAAACTCGTCCACACAAGTGTCGGCTATGATGATGGGACAGGTAGTTTAGTGTATGTGTGTGTGTAAGTGTGTATAAATGTGTGTATAAATGTGTGAAAGTGTGTGAAAGTGTGTGTAAGTGTGTGTAAGTGTGTGTAAGTGTGTGTAAGTGTGTGTAAGTGTGTGTAAGTGTGTGTAAGTGTGTGTAAGTGTGTGTAAGTGTGTGTATATGTGTGTATGTGTGTGTATGTGTGTGTATGTGTGTGTATGTGTGTGTGTGTAAGTGTGTGTGTATGTGTGTGTGTGTGTGTGTGTGTGTGTGTATGTGTGTGTATGTGTGTGTATGTGTGTGTATGTGTGTGTATGTGTTTGTATGTGTGTGTATGTGTGTGTGTGTATGTGTGTAAGTGTGTAAGTGTGTAAGTGTGTGATGATGACATGGACAGGTAGGTAACGAAAAAAAATAAATATAATTATAGAAATATATATATATAAATATCTTTTAACAAAATAAATAAATAATTACCTCTAGTACTGGTTACTGATAACTGTATAATAATAAATGCCAATAACATTGACATTTTAGCTAGCTGATTTTTCATCATCACAATATATAAAGCAATAGAAAAAATATTATATAAAAAATGATCAAGTTAAGATTATTGATTACACTAAAAATTATAATAAAAGTCAAAATTAATAATATATAATATAAAACTATTGGATACTTATTAATATTAATAATATAATAGAAAAAAATTTCGGCTCTTTATATACTAATAGAGAAATTAAAATGATTAAAATTTAAATAATATTAATAAAATTACTATTATTATTACTAATAGTATAGTAGTAATGATTATTATTTATAGTTATATGATATTAGTATAAATATTATTTTTAGGATTAATTAATAATAATGTTAAATATATTTTTTATATAAATAAATTATAGTATTATTAATTAATACATTTTAGTACTAATAATCAAAATCAATATTATTTATTTTTTTAAAAATTGTTATGTGATGTTAGTATAAAATTTTTCATACTTTTTTATTTTTTTAAATGAAAATTTGATTAAAATTTATTAATATTTTGAATGTTACAAATAATTTATATTAAAATTATGACATAATATTTTCGTGATATTTATATTATATCTATTATTACGGCTAAAGTAAATATTAAATTATTAATCCTAAAAAATAACTTTAAAAATATGTAAAAACATTTTTTTATGTTTACGTCAATTTATAATTTAATACTACACTATAATATATTATATTTAAAAAAAAAAACATTTTTATAACTTTCAATTAATAACATTATTTTAGATATATTTTTGTTGTTGTTGTTGTTGTTAATCATTTAAAAATTAATAAAAATAAACTATTATTATAACTAAATTATAAAACAATAATTATTTTATAATTAGTATTAAATTATTATTATTTCTTAAATTTTTAAAAAATTTATTTTTCTAATAAAAAAATTAAATTCAAATTATGAAACATTATTTATTATTATTATTATTATTAAATATATGTTTTATTGATATCTTAAATGTCATATTAATTTATGTTGTTTATCATTATATAATAATAATGTTTATAATAATAATAATATTTATATAAAAAAATTTCCATTTAGTCACGTATTAACTATTTTTATTATTGTAAAAATTATGACAATAAATATTACCGTATATTTTAATTTTTTATTGTTGTTATAGTAATATTTGAATAATTTTTATTTTGTTATTTATTAAAAACAAATATTTATTATATTTTTTTAAATATGTAAACCAAAAAAAAAACGTTTTATATAAACTAAAAAGCGATTTAATAAAGTAATTATTAAATAGTTATTTAATTTATTGAATTTTTTAAAAAACATAATATGTAAATAAAAAAAAATATAAAATAATTTTTACACATAATATTTAATACTAAATATTTATTTATTTTTTTAAAAAAATGTTAGCAATTATTTACAATATATTTTTCCAATCAGACATGAATGTCGTGTCGATAGTATAGATATGAGTTCAAAGGTCAGCTAAACAAACATAACGATTGAGTTATAATTTGAATTGTTATTATTATTATGTTAAAAATATTTATTTTTAATATACAACAAAAATAAATGTTTATTTTGTTGTAAATTGTTATCAAAAAAAAAAAAATTAAAATTAAATTAAAAAATAAAACTTTAGTTAATAATTACTTTAAAAAAAAAAATTATTTAAAAAAATTCATAATTTATGTATATTTTCAATTCAAATGTATGCAAAAGTTTATGTCGACGCAAATTACGTAAACTGCTTAATATTTTGTCACAATTGTTATAATCACATTTGTATTTCGGTTCAATTGAATGATCCAATGATCGGTGTCAACAATCGTACAAACAATCAATTGTTGTAAATGTTTTCAAACACTCCTTAACTAAACATTTTGTATCGTAAACTAAACATTAATAATCAAAATGTACAACAAGTTTATGTCGTTGCAAATTAGATAAATTGCCAAATGTTTTGCCGCAATTGTTATAATCACATTTGAATTGGGGTTCAATTGAATGATCCCATGACTGGTGTTGTCGTAAACAATGATTTGTTGTAAATGTTTTCAAACAATCGTTAACTAAACATTTGAATCGTTTTTCATTTATATGTTGTTTTTTATGACAATTTAATCGACGATTTGTTGCAAATGTTTTATCACAATAATCGACATTACATTTAAATGGTTTGCATTTTATATGAACAATCAATATATGCTTATTCAATGATGATTTATGTGTAAACTTTTGGCCGCAATCATTGATATCACAAATGAATCGTATATTTAAATGTTTAGCATTTTTATGATATTGTAAACTGTTTTTACTTAAAAATATTTTATTACATTTATCGATATTACAAATATATTTCTTATTACTATTTAAATGTTTAACATTTATATGCGATTTAAGTGTAGTTTTATACTTAAATGTTTGATTGCAATCATTATTAAAATCACATTTGAATTGTTTATAATTTGAATGACATGATTGATGTAAATGTAAGTGACTTTTGTTAATAGCTTTAAACCGACATTTGGGCCAAAAACACGTTAAATGCGTGCTGTTGTTATCCACACGTGTGTTGTTGTTGTCATAATTATGGTCACAATCGTTGATAATATAATCAGTAATTTTCAATGAATTACAATTATCTAATAAATTCAATTTATTTTCACCGAAATTAATCAATTCATATGTTTCACACAATTTATAACTAATTTGTTGTAAACTATTTGCTAATGATTTCAATTGAATTAATTGATTTAAATTCATATTCAAATGTATTGTTTGAATGATGTCTTTTCAATAATTACTTTAAAAATGGCGATAACTTTCACTTATTAAATGTATTTTGTCTTATATATCCACACATTCAAAGCACACACCAAACAAACAGTCAGTCAAATACCTGTTTTTAGGGAAATGGATATACCTTTTCATATAAAATAATTTTTCATTAATCCTTAAACTTGTTTACAGTATATTACAGTTAAAATATTTTGTTGTTTCAATTTATCAATAAATAACTATACATTGTATATGTATATTAAAATATATTAATTATTCGTATGATTATTTTAAATAAAAAATAAAATATGTAAAAATAATTTAAATATAATTAGTATTAATCTAAATTGAAATTATTATTAATAAATTTAGTTTTGATACATATTTGATACATAGAAAATTGAGTAAATAAATATAATATACAATTAATATAAGTAAATTTATTTTATTTGTTTTTTACAAAATTTGAATTTATTACGAATAATAATAGATGTAATTATTTAAAAAAAAAATTATTTTTATATCATATCATCAATAGGTAATAACTTATTAATGTAAAGTTAATTGATGTTTATTTAACATCAATACCTTTACAAAAATAAAATGATTTTTCATTAATCCTTAAACTTGATAAACAGTATATAACAGTTAAAATTAGTATAAAAGTATGAATTAAATATTGAACTTATTATTTATACATTTAATGTCAATAATTATAAAATCTATATTATTTGTATTACTTGTAATTAATTATTATACAAAAAATTTATATTAATTACTGTAATTATTATTTATTTAGTATGCTTTTTTAGTAAAGTTATTTATCATAGTTAGTATTAATAATGTATTATTTTTTTTATAGACAACAATATCGGGTAAAACTAGGATAACAATTGACATAATATTTATCCAGCAATGAGACGGTTCACAGTAATGTCGGGTCAGTCAGGTATAGGTATGAGTTCACGGGTTAGCTCAACAAACAGTGCGATAGTATGTTATAAATGAATTGATATTTAAAAAAAAAAATAATTGTATAATTTTTGTATATGTATTTTGTTAAAAGTGATTTTTAAATATGATAATATACATGAAAATAAGTAAATAAATATAATATACAATTAATATAATTAAAAATAAAAAAACATATATTTTTTACAAAATTTGAATTAAATACAAGTAATAATAATTGTAATTATTTTGAAAATTTATTTTAATATCATATCATCCATAGTTATTGAAGTAAAAGTCAATTGATTTTTATTTAGCATTATTTAACGAATAATAATAATTGTAATTATTTAAAATAAATTTAATATAAATAATATAAGTAAAAATTTAAAAAAAAACTTTCTTTATTTTTTACAATTAGCTTTACATTTGATTTTTATTTGAAAACATTATATAAATGAACGCTATTTCGGTGTAGTTTTAAATGTTTGTCAATACCAAATGTTTTGCCGCAATCTTTATAATCACATTTGAATTTTGGTTCAATTGAATGATCCCATGACTGGTGTTGTCGTAAACAATGATTTGTTGTAAATGTTTTCAAACAATCACTAACTAAACATTTGTATCGCTTTTCACTTATATGTTGTTTTTTATGACAATTTAAATGACTTTTGGTTGCAAATGTTTTATCGCAATAATCGACATCACATTTAAATGGATTATATTTTAGATGAGCAATCATTTTATGATTTTTTAAAAATCCATTTTCAGAAAATTTTTTGCCGCAATCATTGATATCACAAACATATAGTTTATTAAAATGTTTGGCATTTCTATGATTATTTAATCCGGTTTTACTAAAGAAAATTTTATTACAATTAGTATAATTGCAAAAATATTTAATCTTAAAATGTTTAGTATTTTTATGCTCTTGAAGATTATCTTTATTAACAAATATTTTATTGCAATCATTAAAATCACATTTGAATTGCTTATGATTTGAATGACTTAATTGATGTCTTTGTAATTTATTAGTAGTTTTTGATTTAAACCGACATTTAGGCCAAAAGCACTTGTATTTCGTGTTGTTATCCACACGTGTGTTGTTATTGTCATAATTGTTGATAATATAATCAGTAATTTTCAATGAATTACAATTATCTAATAAATTTAATTTATTTTTATCACAATTAATCAATTTATATGTTTCACACAATTTATTATTAATTTGTTGCAAACTATTTGCTAATGATTTCAATTGAATTAATTGATTTAAATTCATATTCAAATGTGTTTTATTAAATGTCTTAACAATAATTGAACAAAAATGGCGATAATTTTCAACATATAATATGTT